AGATAAAAAGTCTAGAGTCTTCTGAGGCGCACAGAATTGGTTGTACATGACTGTGAATCAGAACCTCTTAAGATGGGTCATTTTAATATATCAGTGGGATCTTTAATCTTTCCCTGTTCTGTTTGGTTAAATAAAAGGCCACTTTAAAAAGTACATATTGGTACAGTTAAACAGGGATTCTTATGATGCATTTCTCTATGAAAAGAAGTGACATGATATTGATGTGATACAGAATTAGAGGACATCCATCATTATTGTATCAACAGAGCCAAGGACCATAATTTTAGCTATTCCTTGAATTTGTGCAGGCTGATCACATGTCTTCGCTCATATGTATTTACATATAGAATAAAAAGTTATAAACACCTTAAAAACCTGTAGTTTATCAATCTATTAATAATATGAATGCAGATTTTTGTAGTAGTCTATGAAGTTGGCTATGTGATTTACTTCTAAATTGTTATTACAGAGGGGGATATTTGTATTTGTATACGACTATCCCTGACACAGCTGGGCCTAATGAGGGTCTGGCCCCCAGGACCAAACTGTCCACTCACACATCTTGCCTTGGTGCCGGCCCATTCATCCTGCCAGTGGCATCTTGAGCGCCACTCTCTTCCTGCTTGGCTAGCCATTCCAGACAGGGTGGGAGGACAAGTCTCCCCACAAGGCTGCTGAATGGCCAGCTGAGGAGGAAGAGAGCGGCGCTCTAAGCGCTATTGGCAGGATGATCAGTGCCACAGCAAGACGCATGAGTGAGCAGTCTGGTCCTGGGGGCCAGACCCTCGTTAGATCCAGCTTCATTGGGGATATTTGTATTCATATATGAATATGAATATCCCCACCTCTTAATTGATATCATAATTCAGCCTTCCCTAACCTAGTACAGTGGTGCCTCGCTTAACGAGCGCACCGTATAACGACGAAATCGCATAGCGATCCGTTTTTTTGGATCACTAATGCCATCGCTCAACGAGCTTCAGATAGGGAGAAATTCGCTTTGCGAAGATCGGTAAGCGTTTCGCTTACCGATCTTTGCAAAACGAAGCTCCGACGATCAGCTGTTTGGCGGACAAAAGGGCCGCCGGAAGCCCCAAAATGGCCACGCGCAGCGTTTTCGCACCCTCCCCTCGCTTAACGAGGGCACGAAAATGGCTGCCGGCCATAGGAAACCTCGCTGAACGGTGAGTAAAGGAGCCTTTTGGAACGCATTAAACGATGTTTAATGCGTTCCAATGGCTTTCCCTGTCCCGTTCAGCGATGTTTCGCTATAGCGAAGGTTAATCTGGAGCTCCTCACACCTCTCACAGTCTGTACTAGCAAGCTGGGAGAACTTTTGGAATAAATTTTGAGAGGTAGAGGGCCTGCGTAGGGAAAAGGCCTATTGAGTGAATGGAGGATTGCCTGGGGGATGTTGCATTCACACTGTGCACACATTTCGTGGCATAAATATTTTTTCCCAAGCTTTGATATTGTTCCCCATAAAAGTGAGTGCACAGTACTACTGTGTTCAGAAATATGGGATGAAATGCACATTTTATATACAAAAATCATTTTTCTTGTCTTCTTTAACATGCTCATAGGTAGATTTGGTTTTGACCCAACTTCAGGAGGCAGAGGAAACACTGTGCACACATTTCGTGGCATAAATATTTTTTCCCAAGCTTTGATATTGTTCCCCATAAAAGTGAGTGCACAGTACTACTGTGTTCAGAAATATGGGATGAAATGCACATTTTATATACAAAAATCATTTTTCTTGTCTTCTTTAACATGCTCATAGGTAGATTTGGTTTTGACCCAACTTCAGGAGGCAGAGGAAGACAAGTGGGAGTTTTGCTCCAACGTCAGGAGGCAGTGGAAGACAGGTTGGCCTGGCGTGGTCTGGTCCATGGGGTCACAGAGTCGTACACGACTAAATAACAACAAGATTTTTTTCCCAGTTCAGGCTAGAAAAATAATGGAATTGAGCTCCTGTCATTAAAAGTTTGACCTTCAAATGTACACTGTGATGCTGAAAATATTAGCATACTTGATTGTATATATATTTCTTTTAAAACTCACTGATCAGGATTTCCTTAATTTACAGAACTAAAACCAGAGCAAGTAAAGAACATGTCTGCTAGTGAGGTATGATGCTTAAGACTCACTTTACCAAACAGAAAACAAACTCCTTGCTTTTGCTGTTCTCTTCAAAACGTGTGAACAGTTGAATAGTCTCTTGTTTTAAGACCTCATGTTGAACAGATAAGAGAGAAGGAAGCTGTGTGTTTTTGGTAGCTGTTGCATAGACTAAGTAGATATGCCATTCATTGTAATTTCTGGAGACATCCTGGAAAAAAAGCAAAATTATTTAGCTTTTAATACTTGCTGGCCAAAATTGGATTTCATAAATATACTGGTGGAAAAGTTTAACTCAAAGCATTTAATGAATTGAATGCAGACTTCCAAAGAATAGCAAGGAGAGACAAGAGGGCCTTCTTAAATGAACAATGCAAAGAA